CCTGGATCCTCTGCAAGAGCAGCCTGTGCTCTTAAAAGCTGAGCCATCTCTCCAGTCCCTAGGCTTGGTAGTCTTAATTTTGGTGCATGGCCTTTTTTTTTTTTTTGACACATTCCATAAGTTAAGTGGGAATGTTTTTCCTTCTGACCTTTGCCCTAACTACCTACCTACCTAAGCTAACTTGTAGCATATGGATATGTGCAGCCGTACCTGGCTTTTTAAGTGGGTGCTGCAGATTTGAACTCTGGTGGGAATGCTTGCACACCAAACGTTATTATCCACTAAGTCATCTCCCCAGGCCCAATCTGATGAGTATTAGAGTTTAATTGCTGCTGTGTTTGTTGAGGCTAATTCAGGGGTCATTTCCACTTTTTTCATGGAGCAGGCCAAGGAAACTGTGGTGCAAGGGAGCCTCTCTAACCTGGTCTAGAAATGTTGGTCTGGAGACAGTATCTTTCAGAACTGTGGCTTTGCAAGTCTATTCTTGAGTCCCTGGTGGCAGGTTTTAGAACACAAAGATTTGGGGCTATGCATGGGTTGGGTACAGACTAAGGGGATGGGTATACTCTGTCTAGGCCATGGCCAAATGTAAGGCTCCTCTCTAAAAACAATCTGTCCTACAACTTATGATATTCTAAGCCTGGCAGCAAAACCATGCGAGTTGGCTCAGTCACTACCAAAGGCAGCCTCAAAGCAAATGGGGCTTGGAGACAAGAACTGCGGGTATAGGCTCAACCTGACTTGAGGGATCTATGCAGTCTGGGTCTCAGTTACCAACTTTACAGTAGGGTGGTTATGCAGCTTCAAGACCTGTGGGGAGAACAGAACTAACAGAAAATGTCTGGCACAGTAATTCTTCCCAAAATAGTCCATACTTGTAGAAACAAACAGGATTTTTTCTGCTCCAAATTATTTTAAAGTTTTAGAGACAGGGTCTCTCCATGTAGCCCAGGCTGGCCTTGAACTCTCAAATCCTCCTGCCTCAAGTGTGGGGATCACAAGTGTTTGCCATATACCTGGATAACAATACAGGCTTGCCTGGTATCAGGGAGGCGTCAGGTGACTTGTATTTAGGCTTAGATTTCTGAAAGTAGGGCAAGGGTGGTTCACTTCAGCTGTGTAAAACTTAGGGCATACAGAAGCTTGGTTCAGCACCTGAGCTGTGACCCTGGGCAGGTCACTTCCTCAGTGCAGAGGGAAACCTTTGGTTGTTGGGAAGATCAGAGGACAATAATTTGTAAAATGCTCAGCAGTTCAATCAATTTTGCTTTAAACAACAACAATAAAAAAATGGCCTCAGGGTGGGAATCAAATTTTTATAGCTCACTGGCCCAGGCCAGTCTGTACAGGAGGCTAAGGCTGGGTTGGAGAGGCTGTGTAGGGTGGCAGGCCTCTTTCCTGTGTGACTCTAGAAAGGGTATTTTTGCCTTGGGGAGCTGCTAGGAGAGAGTTGGCTCCATTTTATAACTGGAAGTAAGAACAACAGGCCTAAAACCCTCCTTTCTAGAAACCATACGGAGATGGCATTAGCACCTCACAGCTGGTCCCAGGGGCAGGGAAGTTAGAGCTGATGTCCACAATTAAACACAGCCTGCTTGTTTTTCTTCTCTGTTTACCAGCCAGGCTTTAAGGTGGCTCAGTTGGCTTCCAGTGGGAATCTGGTGCTTGTCACCTTTGCATTCCTCCTGGCTTACGGAGCTGCCAAAGGCATCCTGGAAGAGCAGGCTCTTCCACAGAACTATTAGGTATTCTGAGCCTGGCAGTTGATAAGGCCGCTGGGCTGTTTGTCTTGATGAAGATAACACCTTGACAGCAGTACCCACCAGATCCTTCGGATTTATTTATTTATGTGTGCTTTCCACTGAGCGCACGTGTGTGCACAGGCCTGTGGAGGTCAGAGGGCAGCCTCAAATACTGTTGTTCAGGTGCCCTCAATCTTGTTTTTTTGCAACAGGATCTCTCACCAGCCTGGACCCTACTAAGTAACCATGGTGGCTAGCCAGTGAACCTCAAGGATCTGTCTGTCCTGCCTCCCCAGCACTGAACTTAGGTCCTTGTGCATACATGGCAATTATAGACTGAGCTATCATGCCCAGTCCTCCTCTGGGATTTAAATGTCTTCTCCAAGATGAACAACAAGTCAACCTGGCAGGAAGTGGGACAAGAAGGGAGGAAAGCAAAGCATGATCCCATGGCACCAAGTCTGACTCTGTGGAGCCTGGACAGCAGAGGCACTGAAGCAGGTCTGCTCATTTGCTACTCAGCTAGGCATTAAGAAGACCATGAAAAATGTAAAGTCAAAGCTTTTTTTTTTTTTTTTTTTTTTTTTGTGGGGGACAGTTACTATTCACAGAGAGCTAGAAAGCTATGCTTTTTATGTTTATATGCAATGAATCTGTTAAGTAACTATGAAAGGCATTTCTTAGCTTTAACTTCTAGTACATGAACACTGACAGCTGTAATCCACAGGGACTGGAGCTCCTGGATTTCTCTGGACTTTTAAAACTCAGGGAAGGGGTCCTGAGCCCACACCTGAGGAATGCTGATGTAAGAAGTGGGGGTATAGGGGAGAGTTGCTGCAGCTGGCTGAGAGTGGAATCCGGGATGAGGGAGGCCATAAGGGGATGCATCTCAGTGATCAAGTGAGATCAGAGAGAGAGGTGCAGGTCTTTGGAAATACCCAGTTGGCTGGATAGTAGGGATGAGGCGGGGGGGGGGGGGGATACTGAGGACGCTACTGCTTTTGTGATCTTATGGGAAGTCTGTAGGGCCATCTTCTAGGAGGGAAGCAACAGGCGGGCAGGTAGAAAGGATACTTAAAGAGAGTTCTAGAAACTGAATAACTGCTGCTGTACTCCCAGAGTACTGTGGTGGGGGAGAGGCTGCCATCCATCCCCCCCCACAGCTCCCACCCCCTCTTACTCCAGCTGTGAGCAGTGATTCCAACATACTCTGCATACACATGCTCTGGTATCAAGCCATGGTGGTTGGGGTGTGTGTGTGTGTGTGTGTGTGTGTGTGTGTGTGTGTGTGTGTGTGTGTGTGTGTGTGATCTGTGCGGTGCCAATGTCTCCATCCCTGCCAGCTAAGGGTTGGATGACCTCCTTTACCAACTCCCTGGGATGTGCTCTAGATCTCATGGGCACAGCCTCATACTCCCTGGTCCTGGGACTGGCAGCAGGACATGGGGTATTCTGGTTCTGCCGCCAACTAGCACAGGCCCAAGCCACACCATGATGCCTGATGATCTCATAGCCTTGGCAGCCCAGGCAGGGTGGGGGAGGGAAGGAAGAGGACTGCTATGGTATAGGATTGTGCAAACAAGGGATGGTGCAGATACTGAAGAAGGCGGTGCTTGACTGTGTCTGGCCATACCTCACCTGCTTCCAAGAAGGATTAGTAGGAAACTAGGCCCTGGCTTTTCTCTTCACCAGTAAGGTCTGGAACTGAAAGAAGTGTGATGCCCCAAAGAAGGAATTTCTTTCCAGGCCAAGCTCTATTAGTTGACCTATACTCAGTCATGGTTTGTATTTACTGAGCAACCATTGCTCCAAAGCAGGAAGCAAGACTAGAGGACTTCTAACAGATAGCCCTATGGACCCAGAAGGCAGAATTATCTCACTTTCCTAGCTGAAGATGAAGCTGCCATTCATCTAGCAGCCAAGGCTCAGCCACTCAGAGAGAAAGCCAGCACAGGTGCAGGCCAGCATAATGACTGGGTGCACTTGTTCTTAGTTCACACTGGGACCATATCGGTATTAAAAACCTTCCCCTCTGACCTAGCAGATCTGCTGTAGATTTATCCCCCAGACAACTAAGATTGGTATGACTGTAGAAAGACACCCCAACACTCTTCACAGTGACACTGTGAGAGCAACACTGAAGATGACCCAAATGTCCACCAACATGAGATTGTTATGGAAGATGCTTTGGCCATCCATATGATAGAACATCAGACAACAGTTAATGAGAATGAGGTCAACTCTGAGTGGTAACATGTATCGTGGACATCAAATTTAGTATCAAGAGCCGGGTATAGAATCACACGAATAGTATTACAGAATCTTATACCTGAATATAACCCTGTGACACGCAAATAAACCCTTGTGGAAAGAAACTGTTTACAACGGTTACTTCTGGAGCAAAGGGGACTTCTTTTACATTTTATCATATATTGTTGGAATTTAAAAATTATATACCTATAGAATATGGGGAATAAGTGAACCAAATCATGACGGAGGTAGATTATTAGGACAAGGCCTGAATCTCAGCAGGTTTTTATGGCTTCTCTGGTCCTACTTCAACAACCACTTTTGAGAACATTTCATAAAAATTCAAGCCCAGAGTGTGGAAGGGTTAAGTGGTGGAGGAGAGCTTGGCCTGTTTTCTAAGTTTTGTAATCAGGAGGAGGCCCCCATGCTGCCTCATTGTCTCTTTCAAGGGAGAGTAGGATATGCTGCATATGCATGTACTTAAAGCCCACGTGTTAGAAAAAGAAGGGGGAGACCCATTCTTTTGGTCCTCGAACTTTTCACTCAGTTTCCCTTTGGGGGGAGGGCTGCAGACAGCACTGGCAGAAGTGAAAAGAGCTGTTCCCAGATGGAAGGAGCAGAGGGCCTGTGGGCAGCAGGACTTCCTCATGAGTCTCTCCTCGTCAGGGTACTAGGAACCACACACACTACTCCTTCGAGTTATCTTACACAGAGGAAGAAATCTCTCTCCCACAACCCTCATTACTAATCCTTCAAGTATTTCTAAGAAATTTCCAAAACAGCTCTTAGTCTTTATTCTGAGAAGCTTTTCCACATACCTAACAAATCTCTGGAAAACCAAACCCAGGTGGCAAAGAGAGAAGGGAAAGCCAAGATTGTGTTCTAGGCATGTACTTCACTTGTGTTCTAGGAAGCTGGGGCTTCCAGGAGCCTGGATTCTGAGAGGAAGGTCTCCAGCAGGCCCAGTGAAGAAGCACCCTAGGCCCTCACCAGGAGGAGCTGCCTTACCTGGTACCTTGTCCACTGATGCAAACACAGAGCGTTGCACTGTAGGGTCACTACTGCCCCGGCGGCACTGGTCATAGAAGCGGAAAGGCAGGTGCTGGGAGGAGGTGGATCCGAGTCCGAATCCTAGAACTTCTGTTGTTGGCTGGATTGGGAGGTCCAGGAGGGCTATAATCAAATAGCACCACAGTTCATTTTTAGCAGGTGGGACAAAGGATAGGCAGGAGATGCAACTCGGAGGCTGGGCTAGACTAAATGTGGCCTTAACAGTATGGCACTTGGAAGGAACCAAGCAGCTGAACAGCCCTGAGATATGGAGACCCCACAGAGGCTCAAAACAAAAACACAACTGGGGGTCTAGTGAGGGCTTCAGGCCAAAGGTAAGACCAAGAAAGGACACGGTCTGACTCTTTAAGTGGAACAGATGCTGGGCCAATTTGCACTGTGGAATCTGTGTAAGAAACCCATACTGGGGACCGGAGAGATGGCTCAGTGGTTAAGAGCACTGGCTACGCTCACAGAGGACCCGGGTTTGATTCCCAACACCCACATGGCGGCTAATAATCATCTGTAACTCTAGTTCCAGGAGATCCGAAGCCCTCTTCTGACCTCCATGGGCATTGCATGACATGGGATAGGAATGCACTTATGTACATGCAGGATTATACATTCATACACATTAAAAAAAAAAAAAAAGATCCTTAATTGAGTTTTGGTGTGTTTCAGACCCAGAGCAGGTGGGGTTGATTCTATCTTGAAAGTTTAAATGTGTGCGGACAGTCACACATACACTCACCACCCCCGCAACACACACAGACAGACAGACAAAGGAGTGATCCTTGGGTATCTGCAGGACCCTCACGAACACCAAACTGTAGTTGTTCAAGTCCCTTAACAATGGTCTTCAATTTACATTAAATGGTATTTTCCACATGACCTGCAAACATCTAAGACACTTTCAATTATTTCGAGATGACTTACAGTTAATGTGATGGAAATGCTACAGGAGTTGTGACACTGGGTTGTTAGGGGAAAAATCACATGGAACAAAATCTATACATGATCAGTATAGATGCAGTTTTTTCAAAATATTTGTGTGCGTATCCATGCATGTATGTATGGGTATGCATGTACGTGTATGCACATGGAATATATATATGGAGGCCAGAGGTAGGTGCTAAGTATCTTTCTCCAGTGTTCTCTACCTATTTAAAAATTTTTCCTACATTTATTTTGTGTGTGTGTCTGTGTGCCTGTCTCTGTACCCATGTGTGCCATGGCATATGTATAGACATTAGAGGAGAACTTAGAAGAGTCAGTTCTTTCCTTCCACCATACGGATTCTGGGGCTAGAACTCAGGTTGTCAGGTTTGGCAGCAAGTACCTTTACGGACTGAATCATCTTGCTTGCCCCTCATAT